TACCATGACAACATCCTTTGGATAACATTACAAATTCTTCATCTCTTGCCAAATAAACTCTTTTATCATTCTTGTTAGAAAGATTGTACTTACTTGCCATCATATTTCTCCAACTAAAATAAAATGCTTGCAAACTTTTCCATGTGTTTTTCTTCAACTGAATGCACAAACACTAGCTTTATATTGAACTATGAGCTCTGATACCACTTGCTAGGATTTAAGAACCCTCTTAGATGCGGAAACAAGAATCCCAAAAGTTGGATCCCACCAAGATCGTGTACTTATTCAGCTAGAAACAAAATAGGAGAGAGCACGAGTCATAATACGACAAATAAAACATGAAATACAAATACGACAAGAACCCAAAGATTTAAGTAGTTCATCCAAGAGGGTTACATCTACAGGCATGCAAACTAAAATCCACTATATCAATTAAAGTTACATTATAGATTTTAGGACATAGAGTTACCTCTTTAACACTGGACTAAACCCAGTCGAGCAAACCCTTTTAGACCTGCTCTCTCGGTCGGCACCACCTGTTGATCTCTCATCTCTATTCTACAGCTAAACCATTGTCCAGGAATAGACTCATCTTTGTTCCACAATTAAACTAATGTCAAGGAATAGAACATTGAGAGCAACCTAGATTTTCTCTCACTAAAAGAGGAAACCACCCAAAATTTTCATGGGAATCGCTTCTTTACAAAAAACCAGCCTCTCAATCTACAAGAGGCACATCCATAGTGTTTCTCTCTATAGAAACTCTCCTCTCTCTGAAAGAGAGGCCTTGCCTCTCATGTACAGGAGGCCCCTGCCTCACTCTCTCTAGAGGAAGTCACATTTCCCATATCGTGACCCAAATATGACACGCGTAATCTTTCATCTTCCATCCCATATATATAAAGTTAGAGTCCACACTAAATAGGAAACTTTTTATAGGTGTTACATATATATCAAGAACCAAGAAATATATCTCAAAGTTCTAATCTTTTTGGATTTATATTTCTTTGAAAAAATTTACCAATATCGATCCCAATCCCACATAATATGAGATTTTCTTATGTGGATGATTTGAATATCACCGTATACAACACCCCAGCCCCTAGCAATAATCGAAAATTTACGCATCTAAAATCACTCTCTCTCTCCCCCTCCCCCAACCCCTCCCCCTCCCCGTCCCCGTCCCCGTCCCCGTCCCCCAACAATAATCGAAATTTGACATATCCGAAATTCCTCATAACATAAAATGTAAGTCTCTCTCTCACATAATGCCTTGATTGCAAAATGGAGGGACCTTCGCATCCCAACCCTGAACCCTTTCGCTCTCAATCAGAACCCCTTGAAGACCAAATCCAGAGACTGATTGCACCCCGTCACACACTCTCTCTCTCTTAATCATATTCCCATTCCCCACTATCATGAATGCCTTTTCGAACTAGAGACATAAAGCATTCATTCACAAGTTTTTGTCAAAACCAACTCCATTTCCGTCGTAGCCCACATGGTTCTTTGGGCCAAGCACCAAATGGACTTGCTACAAATAAAGCTAAATTCTTACGTCATTGTGCAATTTTGCCTGGAGGGGTGTTACATTTTGTTGTGTATGAGAGAGGGGCCTCTCTCTCTCCCTCTCTCTCTCTTCCGCAACGCCTTTTCTTTTGTATGGATAGAGTAGATGGGCATCTTCTCATTCTTAGTGAAGATTTTCAAATATTACCCTTTCTTTTCGCTTTAATGTCTAGCATACCCTTCCAAATGATTAAAATGAGCCCTATATTTCAATTGCAATCACATGAAAACGTACTTCAATAACTCATTCGCATGAAGATGGAGTAATGTAATAATATGTGAGACGCATGTCTCTCTCAAATATTGGAATTCCCACTACTTGCCAAGGTCAGCGACGCCTCACATAATCACAAACGTGCAAAAGGAAATTATATCCATATATTATTCACGGATGAGGTCTTGGTAAGGTCACGGCTGTACGAAATTTGGTGCCCGCATCTCATAATCAATGTTATGGCACAAAAAATTTAAAAGATAAGAAAATTGAAAAAAAATTAAAAAGTGTAAAAGTGTAAAAATAAATAAAAAACAACATAAAAGTCTACATAAGTTAAAAAAAATTACAAAACATAGATTAATAAAAAAATTCATTTACAGTTGGAGATAAAAATAAATAAAAAATTAAAGATAGGGAAAATATAAAAATAGGCATTTGATGAGAAGAACCATGGATTATTGTCAACAAATGTCTAAATTGTATTTAATTCATTGTTTCCATAAATTTATATAAATTTTTATAACTTTTTCTAATCTGCTTGAATTTAATCTAGTTATTCAACTCGACAAAAGGCCGAGTCTGAATAACTCAGCTGAATTCGAGTGGAATTAGTCGAGTCATTGAAGAGCTCATAATTATGCATGACAAACTAGATCTCATCGCATCTGATGTCCTGCAAATGGTTTCCACCCCTAATCTTGAAGTATGAAGCTCCAATTATAGTGCAAACATGATGGTTCTTCTTTAAACATATAAAATGGAGAGTCTAGAAAAGGCATTCCCAAATTTTAGAGCTTCAAATGCTATTTTTTTTAGATTAGTGATTGTCAAGAGGTGATCATCCATCTGCAGAATTTCTATGTTTGAAAGGAATTTGTCAACAAATGAACCCATTTTAGAGCTTCAATATTTTTATATTAATGGTTGACAGGTGATTATTCCTTTGCTGTTTTTCTGTGGTAGAATTGAATTTTTCAAAGGGAATGGAGCTGAGGCTATATATTCCACAGCTTTACATAATTCTTTTCTTTTCTTTTTAGGAAAATTACAAATAACCTCCAAGAGTAGACTTCCTATGCAACTTACCCCCAACCAAACTTTTCTTACTCATTTTTTTATCCCAAATTTAACTTCATTAGTAAATACCCCCTAAGTCATAAAAAAGATAAAATGAAGACCAAAATAGCCTTTAGAAAGCATGCGGTCCAACACAAATGTGCTTCTGGAAAGCATGCAGTCCGACACAAAATAGAGGGTTCCAGCACTTTGGGCATACGGTTTGGCACAAATTGGGGGCGGTTCAGCACTTTGGGCTTTTTTCCATGCGGTCCGACAAAAAATACGGGCGGTCAGGCACAAAATGAGGGTAGTTTGGCACTTTTCTTCTAGAAAGTATGCGATCCGGCACAAAATAGGGGCGGTCCGACACATTGGGCATGCAGTCTGGCATAAAATAGGGGTGGTCCGACACTTTGGGCTTCTAGAAAGCATACGGTCTGACACAAAATGGGCATTCCGGCACAAATGGGGGATGTCCGGCACAAAATAAGGGCTGTTTGACACAAAATGGGGGCGGTTCGGCATTTTGGGGTTTTGGAAAGCATGCAGTCCGACACAAAATAGGGGCGATCTGGCACTTTGGGCATACGGTCCGGCAGAAAATGAGAGCGGTCTGGCACTATGTACATTTTTGTCAAAAAAATGACTTTTATTGACTTGGGGGGTATTTGTTAGAAAAGTTCAACTTGGGGTAAAAGTTGTTAACAAAAGCTATGTTAGGTTTAGGTTGTCTAGAAAGTCTCATTTTGAGGTCTTTTTGTAATTTATCATTTTTTTTGTCTTTTTGTTTACAGTTCAATTGTAGGAATTGAATTCGAGATATATATCATTACTAAAAATCAACCACTAATCTCTCAAGCCCAAGCCCAAGCCCAAGTCCTAAAATTGGAATCCTTTAAACCCATAACCTCACACCACCCAGTCATCTCACCAACTTGTCACTTTAGTGTTATGTTTTTTTTGGGTAGATCAGCATGGAATGGCTACCTTAGTCATGTTAGGAATGAAACTCAGGACCACATGTTATAGAAACCTACCACCATGACCACTTATACCCACCTAGTCGTCTCACCAACTTGTCACTTTAGTGTTTTTTTTTTTTGGGTAGATCAGCATGGAATGACTACCTTACCTATGTTAGAAATGAAACTCATGATGACATGTTATAGAAACCCACAACCTTTACCACCTATACCTCGAGGCCATTCCTAAATATGATTCTTTGGGTTAGTTTAAAAATAAATATTTTAGGTGCTAATCACTCAAGTCCAATTTTGATACGCACATCATTTGACTTTGAGTAGTTAAAATACTATGAGCAGAAGTTAACATGTAACATTATTAATGTCTCTGGCTAACTACGCAAGCACGAACTCGATTGCAATCCCATAAACTTTTTCTTCACTGGCATAGGGTTTTTTTTTTTTTTTCTTCTTTTTTTGTTTTTTTGTAATTCAATGGGGAAGACAAACCTTACTTTTTTTTTTTCAAGATATTGAAGAGTTACATTTTGATGGTATTAATTGGGGGTATCAATGGTAAGAATGGATACCAAGATGCCGTAGCTGGGTGTGGGACTACTACCACAACACAGAGGTATATATCCACCGTTCATTTTGGAACGTCCGTACAAAAGTTCTTCTCCACCGTACATTTATATTCTTGAATATGGGCCACATATTCTACCTTTGTATATTCAATAAAAATGCATTGTGCGTAGACTGCACTTTTCCTTCTCTCCCTCTCTCTTTCCTCATGCACGCGCGCAAATACAAAGAAAATTTGGTTTTCATATAAACCCTAATACAAGAAAACTGTAGTGGTATCCCCGCTCTCTCTCTCTCTAGCTTTTATACGCGACAGAAAAGAGACGAAAGCAGGAAGATGCGCGTTTGAGTCGGTGGCTTTTTCACAGTCGGACCACGACCCCTTCCATTCCCAAGAACTCCGTCTTTGAATTCTTTGCCCTTCACAATGACCTAACTCCCCTCACAATCCCTCCTTCGAAGGTGGCAACGGGCTCGACCCGAACCCGCACTTTGTCCACATGGGGCTCAAATCAAGAAAAAATAAGAAAATTGAGAGCTGGCCCGGATCAAACCCGCCCATATTATCCTGAGCCGTACTTTTTAGGGCCGGACTGACCGGACCAGGCTGCGCCGCCCCGTTCATTGCCAGCCCTACCAGTCTCTCTCCCCATTCTTTTTGTGTTTGGTTAATTTTATTGAGCTTGGAAAGTGTAGGAGCAACGCTACCCCCTTCTCCCTCTCTTATTATCCCCCCCTATTATATGCCTTACTTTTAGAGCGAGGAGCACCTAATTCTCTTGGAGAACAACCCAGCCCCAAGAGAGAGAGGGAGAGAATGTTCCATCCAAAGAAGCCCCCAAATATGTGCTCTCAGGAGAGGCAGATGTGCGTGCAGGGGGATTCGGGTCTCGTCCTCACTACTGACCCTAAGCCCCGCCTTCGCTGGACAGTCGAGCTCCATGACCGCTTCGTCGATGCTGTTACTCAGCTTGGAGGACCAGACAGTCAGTACACCTCTCTCTCCATTCAATAACACACTCTCTCTCTCTTTCTCTCTCGAATTTAGCCTGTTCTTGCGTTGTGTGATATTTGCAGAGGCCACACCCAAAAGCATCATGAGAGTCATGGGCGTTAAGGGTCTCACTCTCTATCATCTCAAGAGCCATCTTCAGGTATTTGCACAATATCTCCTTTTCTTCCATTTCTTTTCTTGCAGCTTCTCACTTTCTCTATCCTCCATGGAAGCTTTTGTATTCACCCTTACTTAATACTCATGATTGCAACTGTGTAGAAATTCAGGCTTGGGAAACAACCTCATAAAGAGTTCAATGATCACTCCTCAAAGGAGAGTGAGAGAGGTGAGAGATTCCAACAGATTGAATTTCAATCCATTTCCTTCTTTACTGGTTAGGCTCTCCATTTTTTTGCGAATTCTTCATTCGTCCTCAGGTTATAATCCTGGTGCAGCTGCTGTATTGGAGCTGCAAAGGAGTGGAGCTTCATCCTCAGGAATTATGGGTCGAGATGGCAACGAGTAAGTAGCATATCTGAATTCCAAAACTCTCATTCCACTAAAGAAAGAAATGAGAAGAGAGAGATAGAGAGACAAGCAGTGCAGCATGGCAATTTGACTTAGAGATAATCAAATTTCCCTGTGATTAGGAAAATAAAAGAGGAAACAGAAGAGTTTTCTATCCTCTTCAACTAAGATTTGTTTATGGCAGTAACATGCAGGTTAGAGAAGCTGTTAGAATGCAGATGGAGGTACAAAGGAGATTCACTGAACAATTAGAGGTAAGCATACCAACCAAACAGGAAATGGAGCAACATTAGTGGGAATACCGAACCTAGTAGTGTCAATCATATGAAAGACCACAGCAACAAAAAGCATACACTCAAAAAACCATTCAAGCAGCAAAGAAATTCCTATATTACGAGAATTTTCAATCGAAAATTACAAGATAAGATCAAGAAGAAATAAAAAGATTCAATATTTTTGTTTTTACAGGTCCAAAAGCACCTCCAATTAAGAATCGAGGCGCAAGGAAAATACATGCAAAACATATTGGAGAAGGCCTTCCAAACCATAGCTGGAGAAACCATGACATCGGGCTCCTTGAAAGCCGGAGGAAGCAGCCATCAAGGACTTCTAGATCTTGGAGCCTCATGCATGAATTACCCTTGCCTTCAAGATCTCCACATTTACGGTGGAGATCAAAACCCGCATCATCATCAGTTGGAATTGCAGAGCGGCGGGCAAATTGATTCAGCTTTCATGAGCTCTCAAGAAGACACTCAAGAAGAATTTGATGGAGCATTCGAGACAAAACCCTTACAAGTAATGGAGGGAGATTGTTCCATTAACAAGAAATTCGAGATGAGGGCTCCTTCTAACCATATGAGTATGCCGCGCCCCATCACTCCCTCGGCCAGGAACCACTCTTATGGTTGAGGAATGGTGCATGAAAACACTCCTGATTCTAATTAGAAAAATGACACAAATAACTCACATTATATTTATGAGACTTGGACAGCATTTTCTGATTACTTTTGAGGTGAATTACAGTTGCTGCTCTCTTCTGTGTAATAGTTTTGGCCTTGGATATGCTGTACCTTCATAGGAATAATAGAAAGATAGATGTTCCTTGTGGGTTAGTGGGGGCAGCACCAACTTGGAGAGAGAAATCCATCACTTTTCTTTTTCTTCTCTGCTTTTCTTCCTTTTTTTTTCCTGTTTCTGGTTTAAGTTGGTTAAAGAAAAGCGTGTTGGTTTGAGTTGGTTAAGAGAAAGTTTGAGAAAGAAACCGCATTTTGGGTTCAACTGATTGCACCTTTTGTTGTGTTTTCCATGGAAGGTTTTTTTGCGCATTTTGATTACTGATGTAGCACAGTGGCAGCTCTGGAGCTATGTTGCAGAATTAACATGGAAATCTACACCACCTTTGCAAGCCAAGGGACGGTCAATCATAGCACATTTTCCATTGACAGAGAGACAGTCTATGTTATGCTTAAAAATTTTTTGTTGAAGAATCAAACAATTGTCCTCCTAATGCTCTGAATAATATGGCATTACAGCAACATGGCAATGCAGCAAATCAAATACATATGCCCTCGGCCAAAAACCCCCATCTAGGAGTGTTTTTAGGACCCGAAAGTTCTAGGATGTAATCTATCCAGGGACCAACCACAAAAAACAAAAAAAGAAAAAAAAAACATAATTTCATTGGCATTCTGTATGTGCCGAAAAATATAAGGACAAATGATGTCCACACCACATTAAAATATGGTAATCACAGACTTGTCTAAATTTATCAAAAATAATTTCATGAGTACAGTGGTCCGATATTAACAACATCGGATCAATGCTTATTTTAAAAATACACCATACCCGTTCTTTCCCCATTTTTCTCTAAAGTCTATTCCAAACTCCGGAGCTGTTATTTATTTATTTATTTTTTAATTTTTGAAGTGTAGGGATTGCCTGATGTTGAAAAAGTTGGACCACCCAAGCTCTCATAATTTTTTTAAAGTGTGTAGTCCAATGTTTGAATACATCGGACCAAAGTTTTATGAAAAAACAAGAAAATAGGCCGGTCCGGTATGTCCAATATTAGACCTTCCAACCACAAAGGCCCCAATTTAACAAAAAAAACTAGAACCTAAGTGCACAGTAAGGAAATAATTGGGTAGGTCTCATATTTGAGATACCAAACGACGTTATTTTCCTCTCTTTTTATAAACTTCAGAAAAGTATAATGCATAAGGCATTTTGAGAATGTAGACCTCAGTCCGGTCTCTAGACTCAAAAACTTTTAAAAATAAATTAAAAAAGCAATCTGATATTTTCAATGTCATGAAGAGGCAAAATTGGAAAAGAAAAAATGGACCTACACAAAAAAAATTCATTAGTTTCAACCAGTCTGTAATTACTATATTTATATATGATTTAGGTGTAATTTTTTTAAAAAAAATAACACCCCAAGATTATTCACCTCAAAAAGAAAACATCCCAAGATTTAAAGGAGAGTGTCTAATTTATGGATTGTCAAATCTAAGCATTTAAAAAATTAAAAATCAACTATCATTTCTTGAAAAGTTTGGTGATTCCAAAGTTGATCTCCGATTGACAAAATACTCTCAAGTAGCTCTTAGACTCGATGAAGCAAGTATATAATAAGGAGACGAATCATCTTAAAAACGTGAAGAACCTTCATACAAAACTATAATTTATTTCATTCGTGCATCTTTAGAACACTGCAATTATTTACCAATGATAAGCAAAAACAAACAGACAGTGAATGGTTTGTCTGCGACTTGCATGCCCTACACACCATGTATTTGTTATACTTTCCCTTTGTCCTTTCGTCTTACACGTTTCTTTTGCCTTGACGAATATAAATTCTATTCACTTGTCTTATCCATCACTTAGTCTTACATTGTTTGTTTCTTTTCTTATAATCGTTTGAGAAGCAAAGAAGTACAATGGAACAACGAGATAGAGAAAACGAGAGGCAATTGAGAGAGAGAGAGAGTCATGAGCGTTTTAAGAGTAGAGAACAGTGTTAAAAGAGAGACAATGATGGGAGGAGTGGAGAGAGAGTTTGTGTGCATGTGAATGCCGGAGATCACGTGAGATTAAGACGAGCGAGTTTGACTGGATGGGATGGAACTCATCACCCATGTGGGTCTTGGCTTATGTTGCTGATCCTGTGCTACTGTTTGGCATTGTCGACCACCATATTTTAGTTCTTCTTTGTTACTTTAAGATCTGGTGCAACTGCTGATACAAGGTTGTAAGATAAATATGTTACTTTTTTATTTAATTAATAAAAGATAGGGTAGGGGACCTTCTCTTCCACTGACTTACCAAAAAGAAAAAATGGGTCTGGCTTGGGCAGGCTGCTTATTGCTCTAATGCGCCTCTAATTTCAACCTGGCCGCCCCGACGTGACGGAGCAAAAGAGGCCCTAGCCTAGGTCTAGCTTTAACCCTATCAAGGCCAGGCCTAAAACAATACAATAAAACTAAAAAATAAAAAATAAAAAATAAAAAATAAATAAAAAAAAAGCGGGGCTGGGCTAAGCAAACCAGGCTAACCCTACTGCAGACCTAGCCCCAGCCCAGGCCGGTCCTTTCTTCCGACGCCAAAGACGCTTATTTTTTAGGGTGAGGTCGTTTCGGAATGAGACGAGCCAACCTGCGAGCACCAGTCATGCATAGGGGCACCGAGGGGGAAGGCGAAGGAGAAAAAAAGCAGCAAGGCAGAGTCTGGCTACGAGCCCTTAAACCTAAAAAAAAGGAAGAAGAAAGGATGAAAAGAGAGAAAAAGAAAAAGCAAAATGCTCGCGCACTCCCACGCGTACGGTTCTCGAGGAAGCTTCTATCTTTCTTTCTTTCCAAAGAAAGGAAAAGAAAATAGAGTCATCATCAACATGGTACTACAAATAGTAAGACTAACCTATGCGATGCCTCGGTCTCCCATGTACATATTATTTTGTTTATTTACTTAAAAAACACCAAATCATTTGCACCCAGCGCATGCCCCTTTGGATTCCGTTTCGAGAATAAAGCAATGGATGAGTGAGCCTCTCACCTATTCATGCATGTGACAATACAGCCATATGATAAAAGAATCCACACTTAATAAAGAATGATACTTCTCTAAGGCTAGGCTTTATGAATACAAACTAAACCCTCACCTCAAATCCTCGTCCGGCAATGAAAATCAACATGATGGCTCTAAAATTAAGTTCTATCATCAATAATGAAATTCGAAAGTAAAAAAAATGAAAATCAACATGATAGCTCAAAAATCAAATTCTATCATCAATAATGAAATTCGAAAGTAAAAAAACGAGTGCATATCTTATGGATCTATTAATATTTATTTTTAGAGCGAAATAGATCATTTAGATAATTTGTTACGATACATACTATTTTTAGAGCTTGAAATCCTTTTTTTTTTTTTCACAACCATAATTTCCAAGTCGAGGTGATCTATATAAAGGTTTTCCAATGCTTGAATTGTAATTTTGGATTAGTCATAAGGTGAGGCTTTACTTTGATAGGGATGCAGTCCTACCAAACTATTTTCCCTTAACTAATCCTCTCTGATTTTTGGAGAAGCTACTAAGCCATTTTACGCCACCCACTTCAATTTTAAGGTGACTACGAGCTTTCCATGAATTTAGGACATACAAAACGTCGAAGATCGCTTTAGATCCATCAGTTTGCAGGCCATAAATAGTGTTGATCTGATGATATGTGAAGAAGTAAAATAAATATTACAAGAAATAAAGAAAAAATCAAAGTGGTCTACTGTAAAAGTTCTTCCTCTTTAGTTGTTCATTTGTTCTTTTCATATTAATAACTATAGTGCTCAAGATTATCAATATATGACATTTCAGTTCCAGACTTCATTTTGATTATTGGAAAAGCAAGCTATATATGAACAAGTGTGTCTGTATAGCCCCAAATCTTGTCTACAATTAAAATAGCATCAGGTCTTTGTGAGCGACCATGATATCGTTCCAATATGTTGTCCCTCTGTGTAGGGCAGTTTTTTCCCAATGAAACTTACATGTGGACCAAAACAAGATGCGGTATCGTAAGTTGATCCATAATTTGCATCATTTCCTAAATTTTTCAGTTCTTTTTTTTCCCATTTTACCTCCTATTTGAAAAACCAAACTTTTGAACTGCTCAATCATTAAAAAAATTAGGTGTTTAGGCTGTTAAAAAGTCCAATTTTCGAACCATTAGAACATAAAAAAAAGACTATATTTGCGCTGTTCGAAAGTACAGATTTCAAACTGCCTAAAGCGCAAAAAAAAAATGGCATTTAGACAAGTTGAAATTCAAACTTTCACTAACCCAAATACTTTTTAGTATTTTTTTTATTTATTTTTAATGTTTGGTGGTTTCAAAGTTAGAATTTCTAATTGCCTAAATAATTAGTTACTTTTATCTTTCCGAAGGTCCGAAAGAACATCATGACTCACCAGATCTTTGCACGTTGGGATGAGGAATTGGTGTCCTTAGAGTCACAAAATCCCATATCATGAGGATAATGTATGAGGGCAATTAACAGAGAGGTTTGAGAGTTATCCCAAGTCAGGGTCCATGCGAGAATACATCATGATCATAAAATCCATGGAATTAGTAATAAGTTTGTGATCAGAGAATTATCGAAGCTCGAGTATTACTACCATGTTTTCTAAAAGAGCCTTGCAGTAGGTGATCAGCTTTTGAAAGGACATAAGCCATAGTTAGCTTTTGAAAGGACAAAAGCCATATCCAACATTGAACCATCTCATGGCATGTGGATATACACTCGCAAATGGGAAGCCTCTCTTTTCAGTCTCGAACCACTAAAAAGAGCTATGCATATGTGCAAGACAGTGAATCCCTACATATATAAGACTACATGTCCTTGAAGTTCCACCTACTATCCATTCCAATTCTGGGACCCAGTCATTTATTAAATTGACTTTGATAAGCCAATCATGAGCCTCTATGAAATTCAGTAGGCCATAGATTTTGTTGAGTTCATTTGAGAAAATGAGTTGGAGTTATGGGACTCGTCCAATAGAATACTTGACTATCCAATTCTTTTTCTTGAAGGATCCTTACTTTCCTCAAAAAAAATTTATTTGTTTCATAATTAATTTTAAATGATAAAATATTCCTAAAAATGATTTTTGAGAGCTTTTTTGAAGAAAAATTGACATTTCAAAAGAAAAATTTAGACATTTCGTTTGAGGACACTTCCTGCACATGTGGGGACCAAAAGGCTAATGGGCCTTACACCGACCTTGTCCTTGTG